ACTTCGGTATTTCGGAATCCCGCGTAACCCGAACAAAATTAGAAAATCAAATTGTCGTCTAATCCGGATTGGCCAGTAATTGGCTATGTTATAAATCCGGTTCACTTAGTATATAGTATGTCTGTTCTATAGTCTAGAACTTATACTATAGTTTATAGTATAAACTATAAACTATTTGCTCATATACTTTATTTCGCTTTTCATAATTTAATTTATGGTTTCTTTTTAACGTCCGTTTTAACGAAAGAAACTGAGTTCTTAATATAAGCTATTGTTTACAATAGAGAGGTTCTTATCGAAGAGTAGTAAATTACAACAACAAACATTTTTTATTATTTTTAAATAATTAATTTTTTGGCAACCCTACAACTATTATAAGAGTTACCAAATACCCAACATCAGTGGTCTTAAAATTTGTTTTTATATTTAATTATTTGTAAATAATGTCTTTGAGACCGCAGTACCAAGGGTTAAACTTATTCCCTGTCAAATTTGAAGCTCATAGTCAACTGACCCAAACCCGTACTTGACTTGTATTTTCTAAGTTTTGTTATGGATATATATGGATTTTAATGAGTATTGAATTATTGTTCTAATTTTTATTTAGATTTTGTTATATAAAAAGACATATTTAAAATTTCTTCCGGGTTTTTAATATAACTCTCTCGATATAAATCTCAGTAAACCGGGTTGATGCAAATTTTATTAGATTCGGATTAGCGGATTTCTACTGTAGTTGTGCTTGTCCTATAATAGTTCTTAATATCTTTATATTTATGTTTCAGCTTCATTAGGTCTAACAGACAATCAAAATACCAATGGTGTAAATTCTTTAAATGGATCTGGCAGTTCGACTAACTCTTCCCCAACACGTGCACCACCAATTGACGGTACCGAAAACGAGAGCGTACTTGTTTTTAGCATCTATAATAATGATGAAAATAAACTACAGCCTTTGACAGAAGAGGAAGTGCTTAAAATGAATAGCATAGGACAAGAAATTTCAGGTGATGGCGCACTGTTAGTTGATGCAGAAAACTGTAATATGAACGCCATTGATAAGTCATCAGTTGTTAATGGATATGATGGTATTGATGGCATGAGCGATGTTTTACGCCCCCTACATGGCAAAACGACTAGATTTTCATTGTCACATGATGATGCATCAATTGGAAACTCCGACAATTTAGAGGCTGTAAGTGAAGCGCCATCAAACCATTCAGTTACTAGTTCCTTAGAGTTAGAAGAAAACGATCAAAATGATAATCTATCCGATATGGTTTCAGCAAATGTTTCTGGTCGTGGCACTCCAAATATTAGTGGCCGTGACACACCATCATCTCAAGTTACAGATGGTGGATCAATAAATAATGCCATACCAACACCACAAATGCAGAAATTAATTTCTAAAGTGCGTTCCGATATTGAAGATAAGTTTTGTAAATTCGAAATAAAAAAATTTGAGGGCGACGAAACAGTTTCTATAATATCAGATACTTGGTCAACAGACGTGCTTGCTAGTGATTCTGAAACCCTTGATACAAGTGATCGTGATCGTGACCGCAACTTTTCGACACCATTAATACCATCCGCTGTGGTATTACCGGGCGACAATAATTTTGATGCATTATCAAATGCTGGTTCTGTACGTCCCGGTTATTTGGATATATCTGATCAACGTTCAGAATCTAATTGGAGCACCGATGTGTTAGCGAGCGATTCAGAAAAATTAGCCGAGGTTGACACCGATGACAATTTAAGCATAACCGCAAAATCTGATATAACTGACGCTGGTGGAAGACTTGAAGCGGAACGTGATCAATTAGCTGCAGCAATTTCGGCACCTGCGAGTAATCAAACCCAACGTACACCTGATTTACCTTATTATGTTTCAGCCATAGACAGAAATGTGCGACGCTCGCTTAATTATAATAGAGAAGGTGCGCGTGCTATCGATATGGGTCATGGCAGTGGTAGTAGTGGTGGTAATGCTAGCGATCGCTCTCAAGAAGACTCTGCTTTCTTTGACGCAGTTACACTTTATGATGACAATGGAGCTGCAATCGCAGGTTCATTAATGGTTAACGGTGCAGCTAGCGCATCATCTTTACATCACTATCAAGGCTTATCTTCTTTAGCACGCAGTTCAGTGCACACAGCAGAAAACAGTTTTCAACACAACTACAAAAATAGCAACAGCGAAGGCAAGGAACCTTTTCTATCAACTCCACGCATGCGGCGACAAACTTCAGCAGAAAGCAGCATATCAAATCAAAGTATCAACTCAGAAGAGGTGACAGCAGCAGGCAAGCCACCCAAATCCCATCATAAGCCTGCGTTGAAGAAGAAAAAACAAATTAACAACTACAATAAAGCAACGACGAATGCCAACGAAACAAGAGATTTAATAGATTTTAGTGATTTTGGCGAGGAAAAAGAAAAGAAGAACAGCAACAAAGAAAATGAACTCCGTAATAGCGACAACCTCATAGACATATTCGGTGATGATGCAGTTGAACATCGACGATTCTCCAGTGCTCAACGTTCAACTGCTTTTGATGGCAGACGCAATGGTATCTTGGCAATGAAATCGGACGCAAATAGTAATGACAAAAACTCCACGCCGTCTCTGCGTCGTCATCAAAGTCTTAGTTATGAGAATCACGAAATAATGATAAACGCTATAATACCAAAACGTGTATCAGCAATGCCAAACCTCAAAGGCTCATCGCAGACAGATGACGATAAGACATTACAACAAGAGCAGAATATGCAGCAATTATGTGCCAAAACCAAACAACTAGTGCTTAACGATACAGAAACTAATGATGTATTCAATGGCATAGTGGAACCAGCAGAAGCCCCAACAACAAGTAATGGCAATGCAGCGAACTCCAACACAGCAGCAGCTGCAACAGGCACACAAAAACCTAGTAAATCAACGGGAGCCATTCCAAAAAGCATCAGTTTTGATGCATCGGCAGACAAGAGTAATGAAATTACGGTTGGACGTGCAGCTTCACATCGTAATACACGCGTCAATGAAGCTGTGAGGTTCAGCACGCATCATAGCTCCAGTGGCAACTCTGGGCTATTCAACAAACTCAAGCAAGGCATATTTAAACATCGGCGCAGCAATAAATCACACAGGCACAGCGCTTTGCACTCAGATGAGTTTTCACAGAGTAGCCGAAGTGTTTCGTTCAGCACCAATGCATCGGAGGTGTCGCTGGATTTAATAAATGGCGTCAGCAATGTGCGTAACGGTAGTGTGGGTTATAGTGACATCACCGAAGACATACTAGCAAAGTATCGCCGTAAGGTGAGCACATCAAGCGATGCTACTAACTCTGACTCTACTGGCAATAGTGGTCAAATAAACCGAAAAAACGCTATACTGGAAGCTAAGTATGATTTATATTAGGAAATAGTTTTAACAAATTATTAATTTTTTTTTCTCTTCTCAAACTTATAGTCGTCTATCGAATTCCATGCTGCATGACAAAACCATTGCATTTAACATTATTAAGAAAAAGATACGTACCGTGTTGTCCAAGACTGATTTACACACCGCTGATTTTAGACACACTACGGTATGCTTAGATATTGAACTTTCTGTGAATTCCAATAAACTTAATGCTTCTTCTTACTTCTTTCAGTACTCGAACTCTTCTCCTTTACTCACATATCTACAAATACAACTTGCTCAAGCAATAAATTTGCAAAATTTCCAACAAATATCGTATGTTTCTGAAGCGATACGTTGCATATCGTCATTGGAGAAAAATCAACATGTGCAATTACTTGAAGAATTGCAAGAGGACATACAAAAGCGACAAAACTATTTACAATACCTGATGCGGTTCCGACAGAATCTTTTGTTAATTATGGAGAATATAGAACAGTTCGAATCGCGTCTACGTGGCGAAAGCGTGGGTTGTAATCGCTATTTAATGTCTGTCTGTATACGACTATTTATTGAGAAACGTCAAGACCGTATAGAAAGTTTCCAGGAGGAATTTACGCGTTTAACTGTTTCCGATGACAAAATCGATTTAATTGAAGAATTTATAGATGAGCTCATGAAAGAGTTGCTCGCGAACGGTGGTTTGTTGTGTGGCATGTCTGACTGGCAGATGCAGGAGGCACGCATATCAATCGAACGTATACTTCTGCAACGAATGTATCAACAAGTGATGTTTCCAAATGAGGATGCTGATTTGTCGCGAGATACGTAAGTCACGCAAACGTATTATTTACGAAAGATTTAAAGATCTTTATTTTGCCAAAAGTATTACATTTGCAGAATAAGTGGTGTGAAGAAGATTGCACTATCGATCTACTAACCTAAATAGATTGTTGAATATATTATCTATTGATAGCTTTTTATAACCAAAGAACATTTATTATATTTAAGCAGAAGCAGTGTAGCTTCTGTAGAAGCTTATAGATTTTTCTTTAGTATCAACAATAGAATAATGCTATTCTGTATTCGGTTACTACTACTGAAATCTTTAATAAAATTAGTTTCATCACTACCATAAATCCATTTTATATCTCGGTGTACTTTTAAGAAGGATTAGGATTAGTATATATATAAAAGTATATAATATGTATGAAAATATAATTAAATTATTTGCTTATTTCAATTTCAGAGTACTCTCGGAGCACATACGAAAACTACAAAATGTGATACGCCCTTCTCATCATGCACTTTGCATTCCACAAGAGTTTTTGTCTGAAGCGCCATGGACGTTTGCGCAGCAACAATTGTCTTATATCTCAGCCTACAAAACGCCAAGAGAGAAACTACAATGCGTTATTCGGTAAGAAACTTAAGCTCATAAACTATTGCAAAATATTTACAATTTCAATTTTTAAAATCTTCCAGATGCATTTCCAGTATAATGAGTTTACTGCACATGTCCAGCGGTCGCGTACCCGCTGCTGATGATTTGTTGCCAGTTCTCATCTATGTTGTTATAATGGTAACAAATATACAAGCAAAATGTTTTATTTCATTAAATTAATGCTTCTAAACTTTCTAGGCAAATCCACCATATTTATTATCCACAGTAGAGTACATTTCCTGTTTCATTGGTGACAAAATGGATGGTGAAGAACAATTTCATTGGACACTATTTGGTTCCGTGGTGAAATTTATAAAAACAATGGACTATTTAGACTAAAAGTATATATACATATTTTGAGCCGGATCTCAGCGTTTACCATATATATTTATATATCTATTTAAAATTTAAAAGCGCTCCGGTTGGGTTTCCTTGATAGAATTTAACTGAGAATGGTGCGGAACGGCACTAAGCAACTCAATTTATATCAGAAAACTTATTTAACCAACTTTTAAATTTTGGTTCTCTTATAAACTTTTCGAAAATTCTAAGTTTCTGATGAAACGCCATAAGCATTAAGCAATATTAGTAGTTTATAAATTTTATAGCAATTAGTATGTTAATTATTATTTAATCTTTTATTTAAATAATTTATTTTGTTTAGCTAATATATATACGATATTTGTAAATGTTATAAAATACTTTATGTTTGTTAAATTGTATTCGTTTTAAGTAAAACACACTTTTCTTTGAATATTGTTTGTATAATTATATATATATATTCTGATATCCTCTTTCAACTATTTATGCATTATTTGTTATAAACAAATTTATGACACCATTTCATATATATACAAATATTTTTCGATACTTATAAATATATTATATATATACTACACTTAATTTTCTGAATATTTTTTATTCTATTTAATGTTCTCATTGTCTTAGCCGGTAGTCCATCATTCTTAGAGAAACTTATTGGCTTGTCTGTGGAAAGGCACTACATCTACCAAAACGGCGATAACATCATCGAATATCAGCAAGGGCATTAAGTCTTCTATATCGAGGCAGAATACACTTCGTAATCACGATCACAACTTAACGAAGTTATCAACAAATCTCCGCCTGAAATCTCTGAAGATAAAAAACAAGAAATATAAAACAGACCATTCTTATTTGTACAAAATAAGAAATAGGATAAATACTAGGTTGTTCCAAAAGTAATATCGTTTTTTCCCGACAGAGGATACAATTGTATTTTTTTGCACCCAACTTCACACTTAATCCGTATAACTTTTACTTGCTATTTGAAAGCTTATATAGGCATGTGTGTGTGTGAAAAATTCCAATTAATTCCATGCAGTAGTTTTTGGTTGGTGTCCTTTTAAATGTGGAGAGCGATAAGCAGCATTTTCGACATATCTACCCTTTCTGTTTTACTACAGAAAGGGTGAAAATGCTGTTCAAGCCAGAAAGAAATTGACCGATGTGTATGGACAAGGTGTGAGTGCCAGAACTGGTTTGCTAAATTTCGATCCGGCAATTTTAATGTTGAGGATGCACCACGTTCGGGAGGGCCGGTTGAAACTGATAAAGACGCGATAGAGGCGAACCTTCATTAGTTGATGCGAACCGGCGAATAACAACACGAGATCAGATTGAGGTTAAATTTATCACATTCAACAGTTTATGACCACTTGAAAGGCCTGGGATTATCCTCGAAGCCCGAAAACTGTCTTTCATTTCCACAAAAAAAAAAATGAAATTACTTTCCGAAGAACCTAATAAAATGAAGTAATTCGTATTATTATTCTGATCTGATTTGAAGCTTTTTATGTAATTTTTTATTACTTAGTTCATTTTGGGCAATAACCTAAAGCTGATGGATTTACCATTATATTCATTTATTAATCATAGGGAGAGAAATCGACAAGTAATATATAAGTTTCTTAATGCATGTAATGTGATGATGACGACTATAGTTATATCAACTTATCCAACTTCAAATTCATTTCCAGGGGATTCCGAATACAATCTAAAAAGTTTATGTAGAATTTGATAATTGGTCAAGAAAATCCAGAATAAAATTCGTCCCATAGTCCAGAGTTCCGGAAAAAACGATATTTTTTTAATGTTTTGAACTTGTTCTTATAGATTAAGTTTGATATATAGTTCAGCAGTTCATGAATTATTTGACATAATATTCATTTGACTACTTAAATATGTGTTTCAGTATTCCACGAAAGAATACTTACTCTCCTCGTTTTTAAGACGCACTCGTCTTTATTAAAAAAATATTCCAACTAATCTCTTAATCGTACTAATCCGCACTTAATACCTCTAATAATTCATAAGCAATTTATTAATCTAAACCTATTTACAATTTCCTAGTAGTTCCTCAATTTACCTAAAAGTACCACTGGCGTAGAAAAGTGCCACCCTTCTCTAGCAATTGCAATGATCATTCTTTGGAAAATACCTGTAAAATGATAGCAAATGGCACTCAAATATATTCGATTTATTTTTTTATGT